ACTTGAGGCAGGCATCCCGCTCGGTGAGATACTGGGGCGTCGGCTCCCTCCGCGGCGGGTCCAGGCTCATCACCGTCATCGGCAACTGCAGCAGCATGGTCGCCATTGTCACTCCCACCAGTCTGCACTATGCACCCAGTGTTATGAAACATAACAAGTCCCACTGTTGCCAGCAAGGCACAAACACAATGTGAGCTCTAAAGGGGAGATGGTGGATGCTTCATACCTCATGGCTGTAAGTCTGTTAATTCTAGTGATGCATTGCATGAATCAACACATTGCACAGGCCCTGAGGTACTGCAGATCAAGGGCAATAAATGATACAATGGCTGCTGGATACTGGGCAATCTGTACTGGTTACCTTTGCAGGCATTTAAGTATGTGAAGGAAACATATTTTGGGTTATTCATAAGACATGGAAACCATATCTGCAGAGATGTCATTGATGTACACACAAAATATCTTAGCAAAAAACATGACAAAAATCACTGGGCATTGTTATGGTAATGCTTCCTGCATTCCTGTTAGGTTGACACACTATTATTGTTATGCATGAATGATAATATAACACAAAATAGAACCCATTTTATTCTAATCAGTTCTGAACACACAAACCTTTTTGAACCAATCTTCTGGTGTTAGGCATGATTTCAAATATGAGGTGAATATTGCATATCAAGTTGAAACTCCATCTTTTCATCAATGTTTAATATTCTCCTCACACAAATTGAACAACAACACTGCCAAAACATAGGATCCATAATAAATCATTTTTAGAATCCATAATTTATGCACCAATAACACCATGTAGATTTCTATCTTAGAAATGAATCATATACAGAGTGATAGGGACACATGAACACTAGGGAAAACAAAGGTCAGGCCAAGTTAGTTTAGACCTGCAAAATTTCATCCCATTATTTGACTCATCAAGGTTGATCAGCTGGTGGATGGTTATGGGGAAAGAAGGCAGGTAACACTGACTGACAGTAAGCATACTGACTGGAAATGCTTTGCTGGTATCTCAGGACCATGTCCATGTGATAAGCTATCTGTCCTTAGCCAAAACTCCAATCCCAATGGTGTATTTTGTTCACGGCAGACAGTATTCATAGGCTATGACTGGGTGCAATGCTCATCAATTGCCACATAATCTGCTCATGTGAGCTTACATGACCATAACATATTTCATCTTTGGCATGATAAATATGGCTAGATCTATTACAAATCCATAATACACATCGTGCATGTTTAATTACTTTTATATGATGGCGCTATGATGGTCAACAGCAATAGGCCAGCTACATATTTCCTTTTCATTCATCATTACCCATTTTGACTTTTGCCACATATTTCAGAAGAATAAAAGGTCATAATGACAAGATTAAATGGTTGAATGACACACAATCTTGAGAGTGACACAATGTAGGCTTACCACCACATCATCATTACTATCTATCACTCTCATATATTACCTGAGCTATATGCATTAGCATGAGCACATCTCACCCCAATTTGCTGCATTTACAGCCTTAAGACTGCACTGATGCAGGCACAATACATTAGTCAAAACTTATTTCATTGGCACAGGATACAGATTAGTCTCAAATAATGCAAACTGAAACCTAAACAAATTCCAAGTGTTTTGAGTAAATTTTCCAATAAAAGACAGCATGAATCTGTAACAACATGACCAACTATAATGCTTATTCTGATCATACTCATCTTATACAATGCTACTTATGTTAAATTGCTCATTAACACACTACATCACTTCCACAGTTGGGCAATATAATCACATCAATCAAGGGCACATGCTGAGGCAGGTAGCCAGTAATAAATATTAGAGAGAAATAAGACCTGACAAAGAGATTATGTCATACCTGTTAACTTCTTTGTCATGTTGCAATGTTAGCAAGCCTTTATCAAGTTTTAAGGAAAAAAACAATGACGTGAAAATAAGCCACACTTCGCAGCTTGGATGCAGAGCGCAACAAAAAACTGCAGTGACCACGAACCCCAATCTGCATTTGGCACCTTGCAAGCTTCATGACTGTCATGAAGTCATGTGGACTGCTGACTTGGTATTGGATTCATGAAACATAATCTATCTGGACAAATCAACAAAGAAAATCATATTCTGAGGCAACATATGTCTATAAAGTGGTAAGGGAATTCAAACAAAGAGGCACCTAATAATCAATTAAATGCCAGACAAATTTACGTACCTGGTCTTGCAGATTTCTGTGCACATGACAAAAACACACTTCTACAGGCGAAGCACTTACCACGTTTTTAGATTCATTTTTCTGTGTGTCCCGAACATCGGTCTCCATCACAAAAAAAATACTGGACCAATAATGCCCATCAAAGTCGGGCGCAAGTTGAAGACACGATTTCGCCCGCGAACTTGTTCCGAGCTTCACATGCACTGTAAATGAAGCTGACTAGGACTTATGCGTATCAAGGAAACCCAGTCCTTCCGCTATTGCACGAATGCTGTTTCGCTTCTTCAACACGTAGCGTAAATTTACGACGGAAGCACCTGTCGCGAGCCACAACAGCGAGGTGAAACCGTAACAAACGCGGACGAAAAGACGGCAGGCGCGACCTCTTTTTCGTGTGACGTCACATATGACTTTCATGCACCAGAGCCAACGATATCGTTAAAACTTTCATATTGCCATCACACAAATGACGTCTATTTTAAGAAGAAATACAATATAAGCCGATAAATTCTATTAAATATGTAATTATGACACCAAACGTGTTAAAAATATTTTTTACATATACAGAGTAAAGAAAAACGGACGAACATGAATACTAAATGCAAATTACGAAAAGTCATAAGCATGACATGACAGCCAAGTACGGCACATACTATCCACAATTGTCGCGTTACGTTGTCCGCCCTTCCGGAAGCGTGGATTGAAACACTAGTTGAGTTAAGCATGACTGCCTAAAAATACACCACAGACGTGGTGCAAGCCATCTAAAAACCACTACTTGTCGCACTACAGGTGGAAAAGGGTATAAGAGAGCATTACAGAACAGCCGACTTCCTCTCTAAGACTCAGGCACCAAGGCCAATAGAGATGGAACATGAGCGATCGGGGGTGTCGCGGCAAACCTACAAAGAGGCTTCCATCAACAAGAATAGGGTTTTAGAGCAAGCAAGAAGAACCAAGAACAACGTGGTGGGTCTCTGAACGATCGCCCTTGGACAGCGTAATGAACAACATGAAGGGCCCCTGAGCAACCGAGAATCCCCCGGCAGGTTAACATATAGAGACCCCGTCTTTTGAGTGCAGATCTTTCGGGCGAATGGAAAGAATCCATGGAAGATCCCTGATTGACGGAGAGGTGCTCCGGCACGTTAGCAGGAAGGGGCCCACCAACAGCGCGGGGGCTCTCCGAGCGAATGCAAGAAAATCAAGGGTAGCGTGTGAAGCTGTATCAGCCTTGCTTGCTGGATCTTGCAGCAGCCTTGCTGGATCGAGTTGACCCACAAGTGGACATATGGGCCCTCCGGAAACAGCGTGGGACCTCTGGAAAGCGTAATCAGCCTTAAAACCTCCTAATCACCGCACTATCAATCAGTAAAGAAAAGTTTTGCTTGCGCGTGGGCCCTTCACATTTGCTTGTGACTATCATTGGTTTCATGGAAGCACAAAGTTGCCCAATCTTGTTGCGTTTTGCGTAGAAAATGCGTCTGTTGGGCTGGCTACGGACCCCTTCGAAGCCCAAGGGAGAGGCATGGCCCCGTGACCCCCCCCCCCCCCTCGCTCCGCCCCTGCCGTCACAACGCCTCAGGGTGCTCACTCTCAGTACCGCGCGTCGGCCGCCGCGTCAATGCTCAGAACTTGGGGACCGGCCGCTGGGGCCGCACCGTCGGTGTCATCATCGGCATGAGACAGCGACGGGCCTGATTAGTGAAGATACCAAGTCTCCGCATTTGGTGTACGAAAAGGGGGTTCCTGATACCGCGACGTCCGATGCTGATAAGCGTAGCGGGGCAGCGGCCGACTGTTGCTTCCGGCGCGGCCCAGAGACCGCCCGCCAGACGGGGGACTGTGGCGCCCGCGGTTGAGCCCTGCTGCAGCGGTCGTCAACGCCGCGGGCCGCAGCAGCCGCAAGTCCGCTGGGACGCGGGCATATGCCAGCAGTAGTGTGAGGGCGTAGTCGTAACTGTGCTTCAGTTTTTTTTTTCTGTGGCGCGTGGTTGTCGTTGTTTGAGGACGAACGCTCAACGTTAGAGCGAAAGTTTATGGAGGAGGTGACATGACATAAGTCCCCCTGCACGGGGTCAGGTGACCTATCAGCTGACCTGACGGGTTACCAGCTGACCCGTGTCCGAGCCCGCCGAGCGAGGGTTAGTCCAGACTTTTGCGCGCACACATCACTATTGTGTCATAATAGACGAGCTGAAGTGAGATCCAGCCGGTAACAATAAAACATCAAGGCTACCCGCTACGGTGAAATTCGGACACGCATCACCAAAATTTTACCGGCAGATTTCACATTTTCATGCATTGGAACATTCACCAACGCAAAGACTAAGGCTTTTGTAAAGGTCCTGACCTCCGATCATGGTCGTCTTGCAAGGCAAAATTGAGGCCAAATGGACGGAGAGCTCCAATAACCAGACAATTCCCACCCGATTTTAACTTTTCAAACATCAGAATATACTTTTCAAGGTAGATTGAACCATTTTTTGTTGTTCAGCTCCTCCTCCAAACTCATGATGTGAAATTGCACCCCTGTGCTCGGTCATTTATCAGTTTGAGAGCCGGCGATGATTTTACGAGCTCTGGCTGGTCGAACCTGCTGGCGATTTCGTGGCTGCGCGTGGTCCGTAATCCGCCCGTAGTGTGACAGGCAGTAGTTTAGGCCGTTTGCACCATACCCGTGGTGTATTTTTAGGTCGTCATGCTTAACTCGGCCACTTTTTCAATATACGCCTTCCGGAACATCGAATGCGTATCAGGGCAATTGGAATGTGCGGGGATTCGGAGATTGGTGGGGATGTCCGGCATGCTCATAACATTGTGGCCCTATAAATTCTGGTTGAATTGAACATGATGGAAAGCCCCGAAAACTGAAGCTGGTTGTTTTGAAGCACCTGCCCGAGTCTTGGTACGATGTGTATTTTGCCCGTTAGGATGGACGTCAGTTACGAGCATGGCATGTTGTTTTGCAGAGTTGTTTTCACACTTTACATTGTGCTCCTTTTACCTACACCCAAGTTTGCAGAAACAATCTATCCACTGCACTGGGTGTCTAAGTGGCCTTGATGCTCTGAGCCTGGGCATGGTGGAATTGATTTAGGTACAGATTAGACTACCCTGAATTCATAAATTGGTTTAGTACAGAAGTAATAAAAGTTTAAAGCTATGTATGTGAAGTATGGGGCAGACTGGGTGTAGGGTATGGTGTAGTCTGCCCCATGAAGCTAGGCAAACTTCATGGGACAGACTAGGTATATTTTGGTATTGCATCCAGTCATCAGCATAGGTAGCATGGAAGTGGATTGGTTGTTCTGGTGATTTTCTTATTCAACACAGTTTTGGTGCCACAACATTTTAAGGATGCCTCATGTTTGTTGACATAATATGAGAGATGTAATATGAGACTCTTCCACATGGTCTTTTACTGGTGGTAACCCTTTTCACCAATTCCTGGCATCTATTATGGAGGCAGGCCCAGCATTGTACATCTCCTGCATGTTGTAGCTTACAAGATGTTCTATGTTTTCCTGCTGCATGTTTCCTGCATGAGTGGAAGACTGACCTAAGGACTTTTAAAAAGTAATTAAATATCTGTGGTTTTATATGGACTATAAGGCTCTCAATACAAGGTTTGTGTACTGTGAAAACTGTTCAGCAAAGCCTGTGCACAATGTTGTAAGGCTTTGTCTGACTCATACACATCAGATCAGTCATTGGTCAAAACTGTCAGCATTTCTCCAATTGAGATGCAGTGGTGCCCCAGCTCAAGGAGACCAATATGCATTGGATGACTGGTACATGCTGCATATGGATATACAACAACAAAAAGCATGGGCCTGAGGACAGGTAGCTCTTGAAACCATTGGATACTAGAGATCATAAAGGTTTTGCAGACTTTGAATAGTTGGCAACATTTTTACTTCTTTAATGTACCAATATGGGGCATGTGATTATGGAGGATATGACTGACCTCGCCGGTTGGGTCAGCTAACTTGCCTTGTCAGATGACCCCACTCATGCACTGACCCGACTGGCGAGGTCAGCTGGCCTGGCCCGCCAGATGGCCTCACTCTCGCGCTGGCCAGGCTGGCGAGGTCAGCTGGCTGGCCCCGCGAGGTGACTTCACTCTCGCGATCACCGGGCTAGTGAACTCCTGCTCTCTGGCGGCTTGGCTGCCCTCTGTTTGCGGCGTTAGATCATGCTTCTTCGGCGTCTGACGGAACGACGATGTTGTGAATGCGTATTACTGTGGTGCATGTTCCCGTTATGTGTTGGTGTTGTGCGTGTGTATTTTCACCATAAAATATGGAGCCAGGAGCAGCTTTAGATATAACCAGCTGCTAATTTCATGGATTCCAATGTGTGCGATGAAATGGCGGGTCATTTGAAACCACTGGGACTAGACCAATTGTTTATTTGTTTTGGGCGCTTGAACTTGTTCAAAATTAATCAGAGTTGAGTGCGCACGCGCATTATCTGTCCTCGGGCTTCGGTGTGGAGCGGTAATGTGAGAAGATTTGACTCAAATAGAATGGTCGTTTTCCGTTGTAAGCTGTCAGTTGGCGCTTTTTATTATGATATGTTTTTTATTTTGTTCTGTTCTGTTGTTGTTTCTGGAAATACAATATGAACATTGTTGATGCCATTGAATTCACGGTGTAGCCTTTGTGCCTTTTTACAATAAAACTCGCACAAACGATTACCTTTTATTTTGTATATGGTTTGCGTATGGCCGAAGCGTATTTGTGTATCCGTATATCCGTAACCGTATAATGTATTTTGTATCGCCACAGAAGTATATTTTTGTCGCATTCATAATCAGTGTAGCCGTGAGTCCTACTCCGAGCTTTGACAATGCTTTGAATTTGTATACACAGACCTATTGGAACCGCTTCTGCGCAACAAGGTCACCTTGATCTTTTATGTTGTGTGACGAAGGAGACGCGAACTAGACAACGTCGATCAGGATCACGAGACGTTGTTCTCTCCGCCATGACGGACAGCACGCGGACAGGGGATGGCACGGCGGTTCATTAGCGTTGATCTCCATCTCCGGTGGGGATCACACGTTACTGCCAATGGTCGGGCTAGCGAGTCTGAGGCTCTTATGCATCCATCCATCAAATGGGACACAGCGGTGGCTGGTCCCCGGGTATGCCTTGGCTCGACCTGAGCCTCAGTCGTCATCGTCAGACGCCAAACCCTCCACAGCAGGCCAGGGTATGACAGGCAAGCATTCTGTCACATGGGCGCACTCTATGACAGAATGCTTCCTCAAGAACTAGGGCTGTGTCCTAATCCTTTACGCGGTCTGGTGGCCAGGGATACCACAACATCATCGATATCTCCGACCCCCCCCCCCCCCCCCCCCCGCTCTCCCTCGCCAACTTGGCGCCCCCGCCGTCACCGAAAGCCGCCCTCCATTCCCGCTCCGGTTCCCAGGGTGAGCGGCGGTACCTCGCCGCCGGACGGGAGACCATGCTGCCCCTCTTCACGCTGAAGCTGAACCACAAGCTGGTGCCGGGCCTGGTATCCCTGGGCGTGTACGACGGCACCTACCCCTGTCTGACGGCCGCCACCAGCGGAGACAAGGTCAGTCCAGGTGTCAGGTGTCCGCTGAGGTCTGCAACAGCCTGTACTAGGATAGCGAAGCAAAATGGAAGGCTCAACCCTTCCTACGGCTACGTAGTTGTGGTGGACCGCTGCGGAGTCTGCGACGAGCTGAGCTCGCCCGAAGTCACCTTGTAGGCGCGCGACGAGTTGGTGAAATGGATGGCGGGTTACGTGATTATGGTGGTCAGATCACGCCTGCCGCGTGAGAAGTACTGCATGCCGCTCGGCTCGTGCCGCGTGAATACGGCTGACCGAAGGTGCTCGGCTTGCGCCACCAGCTACTCGTGCACAACCCGCACGAGAGGAGCGGCGAGCTCGGTGGACGACTGCAGGGCAGTAAGGCCACCTCGGACGTCTCTATCCTCAACATCAACCAACAGGTAAGCCACGAGGAGCGGCGGACACTCAGGCTGTGGCGCTGCCCTTGCCGAGTGAGTTCGTGTTTGTTGGTCTTCAGTCTGAAACGCATCACCGGATGTTGCGAGGGAGTGCTGTTGGGGAACACTAGCGCCCTCTGCGCTGCCGCCAGGTGACGTCGCTATGCTGCGGCCGTCTGAAGAAGTCGACTACAGATGGCAGTCCGGTCGGCGACGTGCTGTGTGTGGGCACGCCCGCCAGTCTGCAGGTGTACGACGTGGCCAATAACGCCGACCTCTTCTACAAGGATGTAAGGGTCACGGCGGCGCCCGCGCCTCTGCGTGAGATGACTCACGGACATATCGTGATGACGTCATTACGGCTGGGTGAATACGAATGCTGGGTACTAGGCTGCAGGTCATGAGTCGCTGGCGATAACGTGCAGCCCGCCATATGTTTAACGAGTGTTATCGCCTTAGCCGTAAACAGCCAAAGACATGGTCGACGTGCGTGCTCCGACCCATGCTGGCTGGTTTGTCGGGTACAGACGATTATGAACCTTGAGCCATGCCCTACATGGCCGGGTTGGAAACGCTACCGTAGCCATGATAATGTCTTCGGCGCGGGGGGAAAGTGTCACGTGATATTCACCAATTAGCTATGGATATAACCACGCATTTAATGACACAGGTGCTTGTTTCTGTTCTGCTACCGTTTTATATGGCAAAAACAGAAAACAGTACATCCTGCTTAAAGGTTACTGTTGTCCAGACCTCGCCGGATTCGTTTGTGATTACGCCCACGTCAGTGCACATCATCCCTTCATCACCCCATCATCGGGCACAGTCAAGTGGTCGGGTCTCATCAAAACAACGCCGGGCCCAGCGCGGCCTTCCGCTGTTTAGGGCGGCGCCTGGGCCGACCGCGCTACGCGTGCCCGCGGATCGCGCTGTGCGGCTCCCCCAGGCCGCTCGTGTCCCTTCTCACCTATTCTTACGCTGTACATGCGACCCTGCACCGATCGGACGTGCTGTGACACCGTATTGGCGCCACGGGGACGTCACGGTACCAGAGAGTGACCAGGCGATGCCGCTCGGCGGAGACCGCGTGACGCTCGGTGACGGGGCGTGTCCGCCGTCGGCAGCTGCCGGACGGTGCCAACGCGCTGGTGGCCGGCCGGCTGGGTGACCGGCCCGAGCCGCTGGTGCTGGTCGGCGGCAACTGCGCCCTGCAGGGGTTCACGGCCGATGGCAGCGACCCCTACTGGAACGTCACCGGCGACAACATCCGCTCGCTGGCGCTCATGGACTTCAACCAGACCGGCCGCAACCAGGTGCGGAGTGCAGGCTCTGTGGCCTTGTGTGAGACCGGCCTACTCCCCCCCCCCCCCCTCTGTTCTGCGAGAAGGGCCTCCAGATTGAACAGGAAAGGGGGGCGGGGTGGGGCTCCAGTCACCAGTGAAGACTGGTGATGATGGTTTTAATGTGCGCACTAGACCCGCATCGTCTCGGGTGCAGTACATGATCAGCTCATTTCCTGATGGTAGCGGAGGTCTAACACGCTAGCGAAGGTAGCGGTATAGCTGCGTGTAGCGGGGTAAAGCTGGCTGAGCTCCCTCAGCCGGCGGCTGGTCGGTCGTGTCTCCGGACCGTGGCTGAGGACCGCACCGCTATTCCAACAGCGGGACTGCCGCTGATAAAGAAATATCCGACAGCGGTCTTTCGGTCAGTGTAGAATCATAGACTGCGGCAGTGACTGAGCCGCCGTCGCGCCGAACAGCTGCTGGTCGGCTCGGATGACTTCGACATCCGCATCTTCAACGACGACGACATCGCGCACGAGGTGACGGAGACGGAGGCGGTGACGGCGCTGCAGCCGCTCTCCGGCTCCCGCTTCGGCTACGCTCTCGCCAACGGCACGGTCGGCGTCTACGACAAGACCACGCGCTGGTGGCGCATTAAGGTGTGTGCTCCCCAGCTGAAGAATGGTGGACGGTGAGCTGTTGTCGCCAATTTCTTATTCTCGCTGTACATGGTCTAGCCCGGGGCTTTTTAGGATTTATCATGTCTGATTGCAATAGACCTTGTCATCGGAGCCCGTATGGTGTTTCGGTGACCGTGGCGGGTGCGGCTGGTGGCCGTCCAAACCCCGAACCCGGCCCGACTGACGGCCGTCCAAAGCCCGACCCCGGCCTAGCTGATGGCCGTCCAAAGCCCGAACCCGGCCCGACTGACGGCCGTCCAAAACCCGAACCCGGCCCGGCTGATGGCCGTCCAAAGTCCGACCCCGGCCCGACTGATGGCCGTCCAAAGCCCGACCCCAGCCCGGCCGACAGCCGTCCAAAGCCCGACCCCGGCCCGACTGTCGGCCGTCCAAAGTCCGACCCCGGCCGGGCTCTGACCTGACCAGCCGGTCGGCCGCCATCCCCAGTCGAAGAACTCGGCTGTGGCGCTGCAGAGCTTCGACATCGACAACGACGGCGTGCCCGAATTGGTCACCGCCTGGAGCAACGGCAAGGTGGACGCCCGCAGCGACCGCACCGGCGAGGTCGTCTTCAAGGTCAGCGGCTGGGGATCCGGAGCGATGGCGTAGGGGTCGGCGGCTGGGGCCCAGCGGCGATGGCAGAGGGTCAGCGGCTGGGGGACATGCGGCAATGGCGGAGGTGTCGGCCGCTGGGGGACCCGCAGTGATTGCGCAGGGGTCGGCGGCTGGGGACCCGCAGAATTTGTCACCCGTCATGAAACATCGCGGAAATTGTGTTGATTTCACGGGGCTGGAGGATCATTGCCAGCTCTCATGACGCCCCTCGTGTTATTGGACTGCTGAATGGAACTGACTTTTTTCATCTTCATGAATTCTGTTGTAAGCAGAAGTTTTCCGTGTGTCTTCCGCGACTGTCCACAGCCGGGGACTGAATAACAATTTGCTTTTGCAGGACAACTTTAACGTATCCGTGGCTGGCCTCACCGTGGGCGACTATCGGATGGACGGCAAGGATGCGCTCATCTCCTGCTCCGTGGAAGGCGAAGGTGGGAGCCCCCCCGTACCCTTGAATTCCCAGCTCAGGCATCATATATATATATATATATATATATATATATATATATATATATATATATATATATATATGTATATATATATATATATATATATATGGTTCTTATTGCATAATATAGATATATATGATGTATATATATATATATATGTATATATATATATATATACACATATATACATATATATACATATATATATATATATATATATATATATATATATACATATATGCATATATATATATATATATATATATATATATATATATATATATATATATATATATATATACATATATACATATATATATATATATATATATATATATATATATATATATATATATATATATATATATATATATATATATAATGCTTGTTGCTGGCTGTAACAAGTTTTGGAGTTCGGTCAACGCACATGCGGGTTGATGTTTCCTTAAAGTTACCACCACCACCGAGTCTTCATACCTATGCTGCCAGCCGGAGGGGCCCGACACGGTCGGTAGTGTTTGCCTGCGGCCGTTCTGCAGCGTGTGCCGCCTCTGATGCGCGCCGTGTCCGCCGCCCGGCAGCGTGTCCGCGCTTCTGACGTGTCTGCCGCCCGGCAGCGTGTGCCGCCTTTGACTCGCGCCGTGTCCACCGTCCGACAGTGCATGCCTCCTCTGATTCACGCCGTGTCCGCCGTCCGGCAGTGCGCGGCTTCTCGCCGTCCAGCAGCTCGCAGCGGGCGGCCAGCCAGGCCACCGACGGCAGCACCATAGAGCAGCAGACCATCCACGAGCTGTCGCAGCGCCGCCAGACGCTGCTGCTCGAGCTGCGCAACTACGAGGTACCGCGGCCGCCGAGCCGGAGCTGCCCGGCTGAAGGTGGTGCCGGAGCGGTGTAGCGATACAGCGACTGCTTCGGACGGGTGGGGGCCACAGTGAGCCTGGCTCGGGTCTAGCCTGCGGGGACGAACTAACGGCGGTGAAACAGCAGACTCCTCGGACTCGCCTGGGCCCGGTCTGCGCTCTGTGAGGGATAGGGCACGAGTGGGGTCTGTGGCCACGGACGCCGGTCAGCCGGCGGTCAACAGTCAGCATCGTCGGCCGTTTGCGTCATCGCCCCTGCTGTCCCGCGAGATCACCTGGGAGTAGCGCTTCTCTCAGCGTACCGTTGTCATTAGCCTGTGGATTAACGGCTATGCTTTTGTCTGGCAGGAGAACTCGCGGGTGGACCAGGCAGTGCGAGTCAGCGGCACGCGGCAGACGGTGGAAAACGTCGGCATCATCCCGGTAACCGTGGAAACGCTGGGTGTCAGCCCGGTTTGCAAATGATCTCTACTGACGGAATCAGCCCGTCCTCAAGTGTTGGCTGAAATTGGTGCTTTGCGTTAGGCAACGTTGGTCGTAGCCATGATTTGTGGATGTTTCTGTGAGCCATTGGTGATCACGATGCCTGCATATTTCTGCCGTGAGGAAGAATGTGTCAGAAAGCATCCAAAACGAGTGCGCCGCAGGAGAAATGTAAGGGTTCAGCCTAACGTGCAGCTGAAAACAGTATACCCGGGCGTTACTTGTGATCGTTAAACGTCTTTGAAGCTGTTGCTGGTGGCTGCGGTGTCAATACGACACTGACGCGTCACTATGACGTCACGCTAGGCCAACACGCAGCTACAGACGGGCCTGTCAGTCAACATGGGCTCGGAAAACGTGCCGCCGCACGTGGAGATCACCCTAGCCACCTCCAACGACACCGTCATGCGGGCGGCGCTTATTTTCGCCGAGGGTATTTTCCAGGTGAGAGCGGGTTCACGCGTGATCTTTAAGACAATGTGCACTACCCACCGTCACTGGTAGCCGGGCCTTGTGTCTCAGGCGAGCGTGTTCACGTGTGATATTTGAGACAATGCGCACTACCCTCCATCACTGGTAGCCGGGCCATGTCTTTAGGGCGTGTCTCTCGCAGCGGCCGCTGTTAGTGCCGGTCCGGTGGTGTCTGGCTTCTGGTGACCGCCTGCCAGTGGGCCACGTCCCGCCTGTCTGAGCTCAGACAGCGCAGCACGGTGACCGTATGGTCCCCAGGGCGAGAGTCACGTGGTGCACCCGCCGGCCGGCCTCTGCTCCAACACGATCCGCGTGCCGCTGTTCCCGCCCAAGGACGTCACGTACGACCTGCACATCAAGGTGCGGTGGCGCGCGCTCTCCGCTACCGGAGGCGCCGGCGTGCAGTGAAGTAATGTTTTAGTTAGAGCCGGGTGTCCCTTCCCATTTGGGCCATGGCTTTACTTGTGCGCTGCATGGCTGCCAGTTTAGGCGTGACCGCCGCGAGTACCTCGGAGCTACTGAGTGTGATTTGACGCCAGCTGACGCTGTCCGGTTTTGAGCAGTGTGCGCATGCGTTCGCTGAAGGTGCGACCCCTGTGTAGCTGGCGTCTGCCGTAACGGTGGTACTGCGGCCGGCAGGCGCTGGTGGGGTACGCCAACAACCAACACTACCACGTGTTCGAGCTGACGCGCCAGCTGCCCCGGTTCGCCATGTACGCCATCACCACCGAGCCCGTGCAGCCGCCCCGCGGATATGTCACCTTCAAACTCAACGAGCGCGTCCAGCGGGTGAGTGTCTGGTCTGTCCAGAGGGTGAGTGTCTGGTCCGTCCAGAGGGTGAGTGTCTGGTCCGTCCAGCGGGTGAGTGTCTGGTCTGTCCAGAGGGTGAGTGTCTGGTCCGTCCAGAGGGTGAGTGTCTGGTCCGTCCAGCGGGTGAGTGTCTGGTCTGTCCAGAGGGTGAGTGTCTGGTCCGTCCAGAGGGTGAGTGTCTGGTCCGTCCGGAGGGTGAGTGTCTGGTCCGTCCAGAGGGTGAGTGTCTGGTCTGTCCAGCGGGTGAGTGTCTGGTCTGTCCAGAGGGTGAGTGTCTGGTCCGTCCAGAGGGTGAGTGTCTGGTCTGTCCAGAGGGTGAGTGTCTGGTCCGTCCAGAGGGTGAGTGTCTGGTCCGTCCAGAGGGTGAGTGTCTGGTCTGTCCAGAGGGTGAGTGTCTGGTCCGTCCAGAGGGTGAGTGTCTGGTCTGTCCAGAGGGTGAGTGTCTGGTCCGTCCAGAGGGTGAGTGTCTGGTCCGTCCAGAGGGTGAGTGTCTGGTCTGTCCAGAGGGTGAGTGTCTGGTCCGTCCAGAGGGTGAGTGTCTGGTCTGTCCAGAGGGTGAGTGTCTGGTCTGTCCAGAGGGTGAGTGTCTGGTCCGTCCAGAGGGTGAGTGTCTGGTCCGTCCAGAGGGTGAGTGTCTGGTCCGTCCAGAGGGTGAGTGTCTGGCCTGTCCAGCGGGTGAGTGTCTGGTCTGTCCAGAGGGTGAGTGTCTGGTCCGTCCAGAGGGTGAGTGTCTGGTCCGTCCAGTGGGTGAGCGTCTGGTCCGTCCAGAGGGTGAGTGTCTGGTCCTTCCAGCAGGTGAGTGTCTGGTCCGTCCAGAGGATGAGTGTCTGGTCCGCCCAGCGGGCGAATGTCCGGCCCGTCCAGCGGGTGAGTGTCCGGCTCGTCTAGCGGGTGAGTGTCCGTCTCGTCCAGCGGGTGAGTGTTTGGCCCGTCCAGCGGGTGAGTGTCCAGCCCGTCCAGCGGTTGAGTGTCCGTCTCGTCCAGCGGGTGAGTGTTTGGTCCGTCCAGCGGGTGAGTGTCCGGCCCGTCCAGCAGGTGAGTGTCCGGCCCGTCCAGCGGGTGAGTGTCCGGCTCGTCCAGCGGGAGAGTTTCTGGTCCGTCCAGAGGGTGAGTGTCCGGCCCGTCCAGCGGATGAGTGTCTGGTCCGTCCAGAGGGTGAGTGTCTGGTCCGTCCAGAGGGCGAGTGTCCGGTCCGTCCAGCGGGTGAGTGTCCGGCCCGTCCAGCGGGCGAGTGTCCGGCTCGTCCAGCGGGTGAGTGAGTGTCTGGTCCGTCCAGAGGGTAAGTGTCTAACCCGTCCAGATCAGCGGCGCTGACTGGCGGTAGCTCCGGAGCCGTGCTGCTGGTCTCGGGTGGAAGCCGGATATGTGTCTCCTCTCCTATCAGCGGCTATCGGTCTCAGACGCGGTTGAAATTCATCGCTGCGGCGGATTGATTGTTGATTGTGGTGGTGCAATGTCGATTAGCGCGAAAACCCATAAGCTGTGGGTTTTTCGCGCTGCCAGTAATCGACCTTCGATATGCCTGGAAGTACTGGTGAGCAAAACTGGAGGCTGGAAGTACTGGTGAACGAAGCTGGAAACTGGAAGTGCTGGTGAACTGATTAAAAAGTAGTTAACATTTGGATGCGACAGAAGGAAAATGACGTAATCCATCATCGAATTGCTTCATATTTGGAATGATTGCTTGATATCAGTGTTTGGTATAATCGCAATGATTGTTTGATATCCTCTTTTGACCAGAATGCCTCGTGCGACACGGAAGGTCGGTGATTGCCATTATAGGGCCGCAGTGCCGGGCAACCAGGAGTTTATCGGCTGTTTACTGACATCAGATGTGGCATTTGTGCCGGGATGGTGGAGTTGGCAGCGGCGGCGGCGGCGGCGGCGGCGGCGGCGGCGGCAGGTTCGATGTCGCGGTGACGTCGCGCCGTGCCCGGCAGATGGTGCTGTGGCTGAACCAGAACTTCCTGCTGCTGGAGGAGCTGGCCGTGCCAGGCGACATTGACGTCACGATGTCGTCGCTGCGCACGTGCCGGCCGCTGCAGCTGCAGATGAAGCAGTCGGGCCAGGTGACGATCCGCGTGGACGACATGGAGCTGGCCGGCGACATCATCCAGGCGCTGGCCACCTTCCTCAAGGCCGAGGACATACAGGTCAGCCCAGCCCCGTGTTCAGCCCGCAGCTGGATGTAGTGGGATTGCTGGGGCTTGTATTATGTATGGGGTAGTCAAGGCTGCCGCGTGGATGCACATGTGTGCTTAAGCTCTGTGGTATCGCCGCTTAATGCAATTTTTCGCATCGTCATGGGGTGAGCTTAGTTGCTGAGATCATTCGTGTTACGTAATAAATAATTGCTGAGAACTGGAGATCCATTTAACTGACCTGTGTAACAATCGCCGTAGGGGAAGTGCTCCTGGTCGGGCCCGGCCGTCGGGGGAGCCGTTTGGTGGCTGATGCATGACACTATGAACGCAACAGGGAGAAGCTGCCGCTTGCGTTGGAGGGGTGTGCTTCTGCCCGAAGCGCAGTCAGCCGGACAGCTGGGAGATGTGCGGTTGTGAGTCGCTGTTCATTCTCCGCTGTCGGCCGCATGTTCGGGCGGCGGGTTCCGAGGAGGCTATCGGGGCGAGGCCGCTCCGCCCGCGCCGACAGCTGACGTCGTGTTTCAGTCGGAGGCCGACTTCCCGGCCGAGCTGGAACAGCTGGAGCGCACGCTCTCCAAGGTGGTGGAGTACCAGTCAGTGCGCGAGCGGCTTAGCGCCGAGATGGCCGACTACTCGGGCATCATCCGCAGCCTGGTGGTGCGCGCCGAGGACGCGCGTCTCATGGCCGACATGTCAGTACCGCTAGCGTCAGGTCATCCGCCCCCCTCCCCCTCCCCCCTCCCGAGAATACCCGAGGCATGTCAGTACCGCTAACGCCATGTCATCCGCCCCCCTCCCCCTCCCCCTCTCCCGAGAACACCCGAGGCGTGTCAGTTCCGCTAACGCCAGGTCATTCCCCTGACACTACCGAGACATGTTGGTCCGGCTTTTGCGAGGTCATCTGTCCACGACATCACCTGACACGTCAGTCCCACTAATGCCAGGGCATTCCCCCGTCCCCGGCACCGCCCGATGCCTGTCAGCCCCAACAAACCGGCTCATTGTGGTTGTGTGACCACAGGTTAATGAGTCGGCAATGGCGCTCGGCTATCCTTTAGTGTGTGGTAGGTGTACGGTAAGCTTCAGTGTACTGGGGAAGGCGGCAAGGACCCGGTGGTCGTGCCACCCGCGGTGGAGACTCTTCTTTTTCTGAGGCCTTAGTCGGGAAAGTCATGTCTTGCTAGTGAAGAATTTGCAGACCTTTTTCACATGCTAGCGACGCGTGTATGTCGATAGCGTTATGCTGTTATCGACGAGTGGGACGCGTCGAGCGGCGCCGCCAGCCGCTGTCGGCCGCGGCCCGCGCCCGGCCGAGTCGGTGCGCTGAGTTTGCCGCGCTCGGCGCCGCAGGAGGTCGATGAAGCGCTGGTACATGGAACTGTTCGACGTGAACCGCGACCTCATCAGTGACTACAAGATCCGCTGCAACAACCACGACGAGCTCATGACGTGCCTCAAGCAGGTCAACCAGACCATCCAGAAGGCCGGCAAGCTCAGAGGTGGGGCAGATGTGGCTCATTAGCCGCGCAGTGCTTTGCGGCACTCCTCGCTTACAATTATGCTTCATTCATTTATTATAGTACGTTGCAGAGGGTCAATCAAACATTCAGTGTATCAGTGTAGTATTTACACAGGCGATATGTAGAACGGTAGCCCGGCCGTAAACGGTCGTTGCGTTTCTTGATTCGGCTACGCTGTCTTAGTTTCGGTCGAATGTCAGTTTGATTGACTTGATTGACTCAGATTGACTTGACGTGCCTCAAGTCCCGGGAAATGTAGGTGTCCGGTCTGCTGCTGTCCGGTCTTGCGTACGGATTGTGCTTGCTAATGTCGGCTGTGTGATGGTGGTCTCCCCCACACCTCGAGTCACTTTTCTCCGACATATCTGCGTGTTAAGCTCCCATGCTAAAGCGAGGCAGGGTGTCCGCCGGCCGACACCGCCGTGGTGTGGCCGTCGCCGCCGCGGCCGAGCTCCGAGGGGACCGCGCGCTGACCCGACGCCGCCGGCCCGCAGTCGGCAAGCCCAAGTCGGCCGTGATCACCGGCTGCCGCATGGCCTTCAAGAGCAACAACATCCCTTCCCTGCTGAAGATCATCCGTACCGGCGACTCCTAGCGGCGCGGCTGTCGGCGCCTGATCCCGGCCCTCGCCGCCGCCTCATCCTCCGGGCGGCGCGCTGAGGCGATAGCGGGCTGCTGTGGCGGCGCCGTGCAGAGACTGTCCGGACGCCTTTGTCGGAGGCCGCACCGCCGCCTTCTCAGCACTGTTTGGTGGGGTCTACATGGATGTGTCGGTCCCGCCCCAGGACACGCGCGATCGCGGCCCTAGGGCCTCACCTGTGTCTGTCACCTTGAGCGTCTGGGATGGGTTTCAACTGATCTCTACTGGTCCCGGCCTGGCGCCTCAAGGCTCCCCTGGAGCTGTGCCTGGTTCTCTCCCGAGAACATTGTTGGACTCAATCTTCCTTGTCTTGTCTTTCTGCGCCGTCTGGACCATTCCTGAGCCGGCGCAGCGGCGCAGGCGGCGGTCTCGTGGTCCGCCATCGAGCTGGCTGGGCTCCCCTCCCCTCCCCGTGTACCCCAGCCGAGAGTTCACGGGTGCCCGGCGAGCGGTGCCGGGCCGCACAGCTGATCGCGGCGGCTGCGGTCTGGCAGCGACGCGCCACAGCCGGAGCCGCCAGTCAGCGCCAGATCGATCGCCAGCCCCGGCCCCGGGCCGCTCCCCGCCCCGCTCCGGGCCGCTCCCGTCCCGGGCCCCGCCCGAGCCGGGCGGCGGTCTGGTGTCGGGCAGGTCAGGCTGCGCACATGGCGAGAGGCCGGTCGGTGTGCCGTGAAGGTGGCGGTCGGTGCGTCGGCCGTCACCCTCGAAGACCGCTGCCAGGCTGTTGTTTGTCACCTAGTCACGTGCCCTTGCTGATCTCGTGTCACCTAGTCACGTGCCCGTGTTGATCTCGTTAAGGTGCGATGCACGCTAAGGCACCGATTCCGTCCATGTTCCGTCCATGGCTGTCTGTGAACCACGTGGGTTGCGTGCAGATCTTATAAAGACGTCGGAAAGCGATCTGTCCGTGTGTGTTTCGGATCCAAGGGTGGCAGGTTGTCGGCTTAGTTTGATGACTGAACTGATACGTATGGACCAGTTCAGGTGGTTTCAGCGGATTATCATCCATGTAAGCTTGCATGCCCATGGGAGCATGAGTGCGTGAGACAGGGCTATGAGGTGAGACAGGTCACGACTCGGCGCCGGGAATTCGACGAAAAGCGAGTACGTTACAAGTAGCGCTGCAGGGAATGACACGCGGAATTTGATTAGAACTACGAAGCACCGGTTTATTTTTGATTAGATTTTGATTCGATTAGAACTACGAAGCACCGGTTTGGTCGCCCGTGTGAGCCCACAGCAAGTCTCCCGACCCGGGCCACCGTCACGCTGCGTGTACTTCGCCGAGGAGCCAGTCCATGTCACGGGCCAGGCTCGGACGGTACTCACAGACCAAAATAGTTCATGCGAAACCCGTGCTGGCCCAACGACGTAACGCCTGCCGGGAGCGTATGAGCTTCGTTCCGTCAGTAAAATCTTAGTGGCGGGACTTTGACAGTTATAGGAGACGTGGTTCGACCGAAACATTGCGTAAAATCCACAATCGTCTCCTTTGCTATGAGTGTCCTGATTACGCGTGACAGCTTTGTGCTGTTCTCCCCAGTGCGAGGTGGGTAACATCTTGGTTCTTCCATAAATGCATCGTGTTTGCCCATAGCGTTGCGATGGGAGGCGATGTGCAAATCTGGCAATGATGCAGACATTCGTGACGCATTTCCGCGCCTCTACCGTGAAGGACTACATTGTGCTTCGCATTCTAGGCAGACGGTGCTCCTCACTTGGCGCAATACGCACATTTATTTCCCCGTCCGGCATCCACACATTGACGACAAAATGGCGTTTTAAACTAATTCCAGCGCCGGAACAGCCTTAATCGGCCTTAGATTAGATACGACTCGTCAATATTACGTGTTCATACATGGGTACGACGTCCCCACCGACGACGTGTATTTGGCTGTTCTGAACACCCTGTGGGGGGAGGGGGGGGGGGGCATGTTAGTGCATGCCACGTCCATTGTGCCACACCAAGTCCGCATGAAGTTTGTACCAAGAGCGACGGCTGGAGCTCGAGGGCGCATCAATTTCTAGGTCCACAGTGCATTGACCTAAAACCACCAGTGTCGTCCCGAAAATGGATAAGGGACCATGGGAAACTGATGTGTAAGCACGTGTGCAATGAATGCATTCGCAGCTTGAGGAAATCTGTCTGTCTACAACGCAGCGTTAAGGGGCCCCAACCCGGTTACGAATAACGGTGAGATGCAGTCAGACACAGACCTGGGGTCTGGCCGGGCGCAGGCTCCGGTGCTCAGCATGACATTGACGGGTGAAGGTCAGCACGACCCCCCCCCCCCCCCCCGCTGCCACCCCGGTTATTTGTTCCACTGAACTGAAGCAGCGCTCCACTAACGCTACGCACCTGCCCAGAAATAAGCCTCTTCCGGCCCGGCTGATTCATTACGGCGCATTCTCACGCCATCGCCACTGGCAGTGAAACCAATCCGTTCCCGAAATATTTGTATGAAATATATAACGTCTCAAACAAAGCATGTACAAATTACACAACATTCATCTCGAAAACCATGTACAATGTACAAACTGCACACTCGTAAACCAGCGCCTTGGCGTACAATGTTTAAGGCAGCTTTGGAGTTGATATGTTAGCAGCCTGATATTAAGTACGAGTACCGGCTCCAGCTCCTGCGCGCAGCGTCTGCGCGGTAGCACCTGGGACACACGGCGGTCTGCTGGACGCGCAGAAACATGGACAGGACCGAGTGGGCAGTACCAGAGCCGACCTTCGCTCCGTGGCGGCAAAGTGAGACATGTGACTAGGAGACGAAGCCAGAGGAGACTACAACTAGGGTCCGCGGCCCTAGCCGCTGAGGGGTGGCGCGGGCCGGACCGGTCGAGAGCCGCCGGCGCGCGTTCCGCGACGACCGCCCCGCCACGGCTCGGAGACGGTCCAACAGGTAAACAGAAACTAGGCACGACGCTACCGTCGGTGACCGCAAGCGTACGTCTCTCTGGCGACACTATGTACAAAAGTCCGGCCGGTCGGTCGGTCGGCGGCCGGCGGCGGGCGGACGCAGGTCGCGAGAGGCCGCCGGCGCCGCCGAGACCGCGGCCGGGCGGCGCTGGCGCATGGCAGCTTGTGAGGTATGACGGCGTCGATTGGACGGGTACCGCGCCACGCCCCGAAGTCCCACCCCGCCAACAGACAGGGCCACCCGCGCGGCCCACGCAAAACACCTCACAGTACAACAGGCGTTGCCACTTCATCGCCAGGCACTTGGTCCGCACTCGGAATGCCAGACGTATCAACAAGTAACTCGGAATTATGCGGCAGCTCGGAATTATGCTCAGCAGGAAGGCACCGCGTCGCAGCGGGCCGGCGCGGCTCGCTCCGTCCGTCCGTCCGTCCGGCAGCACTGTGTCCCGGGCGGCGGTGGCGACGGCGGCGGCGGCCGCTCACGTGCTGCTGGCGTTCGACGTGCCCGAGTCATTGGCGCTGGAGCAGGAGAGCGCCGCCGCCGGCGAGCTCACGGCCATCCGCTCGTCGTCGAAGTACGGGTGCAGCAGCGCCTCGGCGGCCGTGATGCGCCGACTCGCCGAGAACGACAGCATCCGCTGCAGAAGAGGCGGCCGTCAGCGGCGCCGCACGAGACGAATGCTTGGCTCCGTTTGGATTAAAGCCCTTTCAGCTTCTATGACGACCGGTAGTGACCATTTCAGGGTGATGGGATAAAGCACGGCGGATAATGGTGCAAAATGCTGTAAAACTGCATACAACTGGGGGCCTCCGCCAAGGCTTAGCCTCCACAGGAAGCCCTATACGGGGTATGTGCTTGGCACCCGGACGGAGCCCAACAAGGGGGCGCTTAGCCCACACATGGCTGGGGCATGGAGCTTGTCACGATAAACGGGGCGTCCCCAGCATGCAGGATGGAGCGATGATGAGGAAGGAAGGGCGGATGAGATGATTGTGCCAAGTGATGTCTAACATACACCGACGGACGCACGCACCAGATCAGCCGGAAGCCGCGGTCTGCAGAGCATGGCGAACTGCAACTCGCAGCGCCGGTCTTTGGTGAGCTCTGCAGGCGCGTTGTCAGCTTCGACGCCAGGGACGGCCGAGTAACGTTCGGAGGGAACGGGGGGAGTGGACGGGGAGGAAACTGGTGTTCAGGGACGGGGAAAGGACCGCCAGGGGAGGTGCAAGGCTCCATGAGGAAGTGGCCCCTGCCCAAAATCCATCCATCGGTGAAGCCACCACTCCTCTAACGATCACAGCACACCGGCACGATGGCCGCTGGCCAGACCAGCGATGTCCGAACTCCCACCTGGAGCAGGTCCTTGCCGAGTTCGTCGATCTCAGGTACAACCTTGTCCAGAATGCCGTCCCGGTGATGGAACGACGACCACAGCACGGCCACGTTCTCCGGCCAGTCCGACTCGGGCGGCGTGCCCATGATACTGAAACAGCGGCGCAGGTTCGCTCGGACGCTCGTGCAGAGACGCATAGCATGAGGCACAAAACACTTGTCATTCCGGACGCATGACGACTGCTGGAAAACAGCGCATGTCGCAGACACCACAAGTCTCTTCGTTTAAAAACCAGTTACAATTCATTGTTGGACCAACTTCAAGGCGAAACTTCGCCTTAAAATGAACGACCCCTACTTTAATCTCTGATACAACGCAGATAACACCTTAAGGCCCAAATTCCAGTGGAGTGCGACGATGCGTGACACGAAAAGAATATTTTAGTAAAAGCCGACCTGCTACAACCCCGAGAACCGGCTAACAAGACAAATATATCCAACGAAAGATCCTCAAACATAACCTTATCAGAAGCATCAACTGCAAGCTTGTTGTCATTCCAATGGCAAACCAGTACCAACCAAACACCTGACGGCTACGTGTAGGCTAGTCAAATCAGATCAAGCCTCACCATCTGGTGCCTAGCAGAACTGACCAAACTGTCACCTCCGTAATCCGTCGCCTAGCCTCGGTCGATGATCAAGAGACAAAGTGTGGGACCCATTCCAGCAAGACCGCTACCACATCCGGCACAAGCAATCCAAAGCGAAGTGCTTACTGCGTGGAGCGAGCTGACCAACAGGCTGCTTACTCTACTGCGTGAGCGGGCTGACCAACAGGCTGCTTCCTCTCACGCGTGGGCGGGCTGACCAACAGACTGCTTATTCTACTGCGTGAGCGAGCTGACCAACAGGCTGCTTACTCTATTGTGTGAGCAGCGGGCTGACCAACAGGCTGCTTATTCTACTGCGTGGGCGGGCTGACCAACAAGCTGCTTACTCTACTGCGTGAGCGGGCTGACCAACAGACTGCTTACTCTACTGCGTGAGCGAGCTGACCAACAGACTGCTTACTCTACTGCGTGAGTGGGTTGACCAACAGGCTGCTTCCTTTCGCGCGTGAGCGGGCTGACCAACAGACCGCTTATTCTACTGCGTGGGCGGGCTGATCAACAGGCTGCTTACTCTACTGCGTGAGCGGACTGACTAACAGACTGCTTACTCTACTGCGTGAGCGGGTTGACCAGCCGGCGGCTTACTTGAGTATCTGGGCGAGCTGGCCGGCGTCGTTATTGCCGCAGAAGAGCGCCGTCCGCCGCCAGAGCTCGGCGAAGATGCAGCCCACGGACCAGATGTCGACGGGCGTGGCGTACGAGGACTGCAGCAGCACCTCGGGCGCCCGGTACCAGAGCGTCACCACCTGCGGGAGCGGCGCGCGTTCAGAGCACCACCGCACGGAACACGTGCGACCCGGTACCAGAGCGTCACCACCTGCGGGAGCGGCGCGCGTTCAGGGCACTGCCGCACGGAACACGTGCGGCCCGGCGGCGCGCGCGGCCGTGCGTGCCGGGCGGGGCACGCAAAGCGAGCAAGAGCACGGACGTCAGGTGAACGCTTTAAAGTGAAGTCAGACATAACTCACTGCGAGGACATCGGGAGGGCGACGACCAATAACAAAGCGGGAGGACCGGCTCTGACGACTTCTTGCAGCTCCCGGGACATGACCAGGATCATTCACCCCGCTATCCACCAACGTTCGTTTCAGGTATACAATCCGCTTCACGGCGGCTTTCGCTTATCATATGCCTAAAGGCCAATGTTCTCAAAGAGCCTTGCCAGCGGGCGCCCGCTCCGTGCTGGTCAAGTGGGCCAGCCCTGGCCGCTGTACATATACAGACACAAACACTCACCACGTTGGTAAGCGTCATCTGGTAGTCGTATATCCGGGCGAGGCCGAAGTCTGTGATCTTGATGTCGCCGCTGTTGGTCACCAGGATGTTCTGCGGCTTCAGGTCCCGGTGCACGATCCGGTTGCTGTGCAGGAAGTCCACGCCAGCCAGGATCTGGTACAGCATGTTCTGGAGGCGACGCGCCGGTCAGAAGCAACCGAGTGGAATTCGCGGGTTAATTCTTACGGCTGTCTTGCGTATGTATTTACAGCCTCACAAAACTACATATTCAACAGAACACAATATGCATACCAAAATATCCAGAAATGTGACTGCATAGCACGATCACAGCCCACACTTCTGAAGCTGGTCTGAATAAGACGCAAATAAATCCTAAACCGACATGCCACTTCCAAACCAGTGGATGACCACACTTAAAGCGGCGCCTACCCCGTGACCAGCTCCCCAGCGGCGGTCGGCGTGCGCACCTTGATGACGGCCGGACTGAGTCCGGGTGCCGGACACTTCTCCAGGTACGCCGCCAGGTCCTGGTCCACGTGCTCGAACACCAGCACCAGGATCAGTTGGTTGCCCTGCTCGGAACGCTGGCCGTGGCAGATGTCCAGCAGCCTGCCGGGAGAACGTCACGTCAGGAGACCGCGGATGGGACGACGGAGCTGGCGGCCGGCAGGGCCGGTCAGGCGCCGCCACAGGCCCGTCAAGAGGAAGATGTTACGAAAGGCACCGCCACAGGCCCGTCACGGGAAAGATGCTACGAAACCACGACGGTACTCCGGACGTGACAGGTAAAAAGAAAAACGGGGCCAGCTACAGCATATTTTGGAAGAACACACACATTATCTTTAAAAAATATGACAAGTCACAATTTGAGCACCGGGAAACTACCGACGGCCGTGTCACGATATTTGATACAACCCCCGGTGGCAAAAAATCAGGGCAAGCTTGCCAACGCAGCACAACCGTCACAATTATGCTCATTGCCTGCCTACAGGGGGTCCTACGCACGGTGCCGGAATCCAATGGCATCAGTGAGTCCCGCGCGGGCGCGCCGTGTTGCGCCCGCCGCGGTCCTTCGCGGACCCCCTGAGCAGCTGGTCCCGTGTCGCGCCCGTCGCGGTCCCACGCGGACCCCCTGGGCAGCTGATCCCGTGTCGCGCCCGCCGCGGTCCTTCGCGGACCCCCTGATCAGCTGGTCCCGTGTCGCGCCCGCCGCGGTCCCACGCCAGCCCGCTGAGCAGCCGATCCGCCAGCTGACTGGGGACACCCGCCCAAGATTCGCGGGGACTCGCAGATGGACAGACGGATGGACTCTCGGATGGGCTCTTGTTCTCGTGAGAAGCGATGTGATGTTCAAAATAATTGCCACAAGTCTACCCACGACATATTGGATCATCTTCTTTATGAATGAAAAACAGCAAACGAATTGCAACGACCTTGGGGGGGCTGGCGCGCCATGGAAGAGAAGCATGGACAGTTGGCTGCCCTCGGCACGCACCGCCCGGGGCGGCTGTCGACACGGCACCGGGGTGGCCTGGACACCTCAGGCAGATCTGTCCATGGCGCCACCTTCACGGGGCCCGACATATCACAGCCGCTGCTGCTCTGGCCGTTCCGCACGCCCCTAACTCGTGCGGACATTCAGCCCCGCTTCGTGATGAGGAAAGCGACGCCGGAGTGACCACGCCATTCCAAAGTCACCAAGAGCCTCCGCACCAGGGGCAAAATGCGACCGCTAACACCAAATACGGGACGGTCGCCGCGCCAGGCAGTCCACCTCAAGCACGTTGTCATTCCAGCGGACACTGGCTGGCTGCTGTGCGGCCATGCGACCAAATAGCGGCAACAGGAATAGCCATGACTTGCAACATACAGGCTTGGGATTGTCTCACAACGCGAAGCTCATTTGGACTACGAAGAACTTATGCACGCAGTTATGTGCACCTGTTTCCTACCGCAATCTCCATCACGCAGGTCAGCTTCCCACTGACGCATCGTGGATGTACAACCAATTTGTTGAAGCAGCTGCCAGACCGCACCAAGAGCGTTTTGGGTGGAACGACCTAGTAGATAGAAGACAGACCTACGACCTAGTACATAGTAGACAGAGAACTTTCTCTTATCCCTTAGGAACTAAACACTCTTTGTGGGACTTACTAGGGCACTGACGGTAATTTGTTCCGTGTAACAAAGGCCACAGCACTGGCCCACTGAGAAACCATGGGCCGCCGATGGAGCTGCGCTGGGTGCGGCGCCACAGCTGGGGGTCGCGGCACAGACGCGGCACAGACGCACCGCCGTCGCGCCGCCTCGCTCAGGGTTATGTGCCAGCGTGCCACAGGGTGGCGCATCCCTCTGCCGGTGGCAGGCGAGACCACGCGGTTTCCCAGGGCGCCAGTGCTGTCGCCTTTGCTATACGGAACAAATTACCGTCAGTACTTTAGTAAGTCCCACAGGCAAGAGTGTTTAGTTGCTAAGGGATAGGAGAAGGTTCTCAGTCTCCTATGCCAGCTCGCATGCTACCCGTCACCTCGCCCGACGCGGCTCGGCTTTCCTGCAGTCCAGCCGGCTCACGTGTTCGGTGCGGCGCCGCCGACCACGGATTTGTGGACTTAAGATTTGGGAACGACCGCGCGAGTCGTGTTTTGGCGCTGGTTCGCGGTGTAGTGGGACACATGGAACGTGCAGTTTTTCGGGCGATAACCGCAGGCCCAGCTGATGCGGCTCCAGCGGCATGTCTTCACGAGGTTAAACAGCATGGTTCAGTCCGAAAACCTGACTTGGTTGCAGAGATGCTAGATAGCGTTCGTCACCGTGGCATCTTGTTTTATGTCGACAGACTCTGAGAGTCTGGATTAAAAGCTAATTACAAACCAATTAGGGATCAGTAGAAACAAAATCAGATCGGTTTCATCATTACACCGGTCTGGTGGGCTTCATGATATTTTGTTTCAGAATTGTTTGCATATAAGTATGCGATCAGCCAGCTTCCGAATGTGCTCATTCCCATTCCACATTCCGATTGTCGTGGGGTTCTCCTGAGCCCTCTGCGGTTTCCCCATCTCTGAGACCCGTCGGCGGATCAAGAGCTTGCGGTAGGTCGGCACCGCAAAAAGGCAGCTGAACTTAAGCCATCCATCCATAATTCATGCCGCACGCACCTCCCCAGGATAAATCGTATCTGCTATTGACAAAACCGATACCTTGGGGGTCATTGCTCAACGCCACCGAACAAATCAGCCCCATCGAGGGCACCAGCTTAATAAAAAGGTCTCCCTGATAACAGGCTCCGCCAAAAACATCTAGGCACAACAAGGCGACCCCTGATTTCCGCGTCGACTGCGATGCAATCAGCGGCGGCGGCGACAGCGGGCCGCTGTCGACCGTAGACCAGCGGCGGCGACAGCGGACCACCGTAGGCCAGCGGCGGCGAAAGCGGGGGCAACAGCGGGCCGCTGTACATCAGCGGCGGCGACAGCAGCCGTTGTAAATCAGTGGCAGCGACAACAAGCCGCCGTAGATCAGCTGTAGACCAGCGGCGGCGACAGCGGGTCGCTGTAGACCAGCGGCGGCGACAGCGGGCTGCGGTAGACCAGCGGCGGCGACAGCGGGCTGCTGGAGACCAGCGGCGGCGACAGCGGCCGTTGTAACTCAGCGGCAGCGAGGCCGCTGGCAGGCAGGCCGCTGTAGATCAGCTGTAGACCAGCGGCGGCGACAGCGGGCTGCTGGAGACCAGCGCCGCATTTTTGCCGCGATCGGCCCGCTCAACGCGGCAGGAATCTGCCCGCCGCCGTGGCAAACCAGTACCTCAAGGACAGCCGATGCATTCCGGCCGGCCGATGCATCGCGGCTGGCCGGTCGGCGCGACGTCCGCAAACAGCGTGGCGAAAAACGGCGCACACACGGCGGGCGGTGCTGCCGGCCAATCCGCCGCGTCACGGCGCCGCTGCGACGTGCGCGCGGCGCGGCCGGCGCCGGAAACGTCGCGCATTCCCGGCGGCCGGACCCGACTCCCGGTCCCGCCGCCGTGTGCGGTGACCCGCGACGACGGTGGCGCACGAGGCGGAGGGGACAGGCGGGACGTCACCCGCGCGCAGGCGTCAGTCAGCCCGGTCGGCCGTTTGGAGAGAGATGGACGAGGAGGGTGGGCCGTGATGACCCACCTGGCTCCTCCGTTCCCACGGCAGAGGCCGGATATTGCTGGGTCGGGAAAACCAACAACACTCGGAAAACAGCACGAAACCGGTCAGGGGAAACAACCTCGGCGTGCCATGCACGTGCAAGATCGTGGAGCACCATCCGTCACGTCTGGTGCATCAGAGGCGGCGGACAAGTGAGATCATATCCGCTTTTCGCCTGTCATAACCTCGGCAAGGGAACGCTAGTGAAAACACCCGAAAAACTCTAACGCTGGCTCGTCACATAGCTCACATCCAAGCAGCTCAAGCGTCTGGTGTCGCCGCTAACGCCGTGGCACCAGTACAACAGAGAGGTGAATTCCACATACAGCTCGCTGGGCGCCGGCTGCAGAAGATAACGAACGTATCCTGGATGCCACGTTAGATTATGTCTGTAACATAACCCCATTAACATTTACATGATTTCCACAACATATCGTTAAATTTTTCCGCGGTTTTACATTCAGGCACGAAGGTCGGCTCTGCTCTGTGCTAATCCCGAAGTTTTGGGCAAAAAAGACAAGTGACAGGAAAATAACCGAAACTGTACAGGTGCACCTTATGGATGTGATCCCTACGCCCGACAGGCTTTGGCCTAACAAAAATGTATTCACGAACATTTGGCTGTTGTGATTATACAATTGGATGTTTGCATCGCATTAGAGAAGTGAGCTGCATTTGAGCGCCTACACAACATGCTTATTTCAACACTGGCCAAACTAACGGATAACGGTCGAACCATTTCTGTTACATTCCTGGAAATTTTCTCAAATTTTGCCTTGGTAAGCATGAGACTCTGACCGCCTTTCCCAAACATTTTTTTAACATGTTGACGCCAATATGTCTCTCTGGGTTCTGCACGCCAAGCCACTTACACCGAATCACTACTTTGATCACACTGTCGTCCTGGTCATTGCGTGGTGCTACCGCAGACCTGTTCCTTGCGGTTCACATAGCCGCATATTGAGGCACATTTAAGGGAATGCTTCACATTTGAAGATATTGGAGCAAGCATCAGATGTGATGGAACGAACCCAATTATCACTAATGGTGTACTTTTTAGTGGAAAGGACTGCCGAATACAACAAACATCTCCATTTAGTTGACATGCTCCCCAATGCGGTATTTGTTTTTTTGTGTATTTGTTTAATTATGTCATGGAACGACTTTACGACGTAGAGAGGTACGCCAAACGACCCGTGCGAAACCGACACTTACTTCCAGTACTTCAAACTCATCGAGAGATGGCAGCACGCGCTAAAAGTATTCGTTGAGCCCAATATTGTTATGCGCTCATGTTTTGGCCCTTTCTCGGGGTGTTCTTGCGTATTTGTCCGTGAGTTTAGAATGTGTACCTGGATTCTCACCTGTATTCACATACTCGCGGATGGCGTTATTCTCAACTTACTCTATTACAGGTCCTATTTCCATAAT